AAAACTGTAAAGAAGGTGATCGCTTTTTTTCCACGCTAGCAGTATTTACTGACTTCAATATGACTTGATGTAATCGGCTGCAATCAGTCGTGAATGGCTGATTTGCGACACTCTCTTTGTGATACCCTTTTTTTTTCCACTTACACAGGCCTTTGACGTGGACGCTGATGATGCAGGAAAGGTTGAATTCCAAGTGCTGGATCTGAATGGTCAACCGATGCCTCCGGTTTCCATCTCCCGCGGCCTTTACAACGCTCCCGCTCAACCGCCCCAGCCAACTTCAACAGCTGCTCAAGAGGAGCTGATGGGCTATCGAACCGGACCTTTCTACTTAAACGGTTCCACTGGTGAAATCCTCGTTGCCGACCGTCTAGTGCCTCTAAACCTCAAGATTCGTCTTCGTGCCATCGATTGTGGTCATGCGCAGCGCCTCTTTACCGACACTTGGATGGGCATTAACGTAAAGATGGATCCTAATGAATTCGGCGGCTTTTTGGGAGGTGGTAGGGCTGGAGCTCTCAATGTGACCATCATTCTTGTCATGATCGCTGTCACAGCTATTATCTCCCTCCTTCTCATCATCGCTATCGTTTGCGTTCGACGCAAGCCGGCTCGGACGGTGGTCAGTAATGGCACAGCGGCGGAACCCGAGGGACGAGTTGTCACCTACTCCCCCGGCAGCCCTTTCCTCATCACCGATCCAAGCAAGGAGGCTCTGACAACCAATACTTGGACTGGATCCTCTAAGGACTTCTATCCTCCTCTGTCTGGAGGTCTACCCGTCGATGAAAACGGCAGATCTACTGGTGGTATCTCCTATGGATCTCCCCTCCTCGGGTCGGACAAAACCAGTGTCTTCTGTGGTGTCCCACCACAGGGCTCAATATACACACCATTGGAACCGAATGGAGACATCATCAGCGGCACCCTTCCCATGCACACTTTTGGGGTAAGCGTAGGAGAACAATTTCCCACCTCCTAAAGAATCTGTTTCTTTAAAGCCCTCTCTTTGGTCTTAAGACCAGCTGCCTTACCCGAGTATTAGAAGTTTTGAGACTTTACAGTTACTGTTTGGATGCCAGTTGGTTCCGCCTTGCCAGAACAGTGTGGGCGACTGTCTCGAGTTGGGGGTGTTCATGTTCACCAATGCATGGAGTGGGATCACCGCTGCCACGAGCATAACTTACTCTCTCCTTGCATAACTTTGTTACACTGCGTTGTGTCCATTAAAGAGCACAAGGCACTCCAACCACTGGACGTTGGCTTGCAGCGCTGGGCATTAGGGTTGGCAGACTCTGTGCTTTACCATCTCAGCATCGCACTTGACTTGCGCCAGGTCTTCAGTGCAAGTAGGCATCCACGTGTTTTGGGTTGTACGCCCACGCTGGTGGAGGATTTGCTTCACCGCCACGAGTTTTTACCCGCGCGTCTGCCTGTCATCTTGATAAATGGTGTCTGAACTGGTCCACGCAGCACATGCGTCGACTATCATTTTATGCTATTCTATGCCTTGCTAACTGTAAAATAAAAAGTCCCGTTTTGC